ATCTCTCTCTCTATCTATCTATATATATATATATATATATAATATGTCTATCTATCTATCAATCTATCGATCTATCTCTCTCTTTATATATATATTATATAGGGAGATAGAGAGATGAAGGTAGATAGGTGGATGGATGGGTAGATAGATAGATAGATAGATAGACAGACAGACAGACAGATAGATAGATAGGTAGATACATGCCAGCATTTGATGTAGCACTCTGTTGAAGCATCATAGTCACTGAGGTGCACATGCAAGGTGCTATTAATAATTTCTTCAATTCAGTTATGTGAACTCTCACACGAAGAATTCCAAAAGTACATTCCAATGGACAAAGGCGACCTCTTCTGGACACATTTGGAGTTGCTGAGAAAATGCAAGTTTGTCGGTAAGTTTTATTTTCAGCCTGTAAAGTTCTCCTGTCTGTTACGTACCACCTATAGAAAATTAATGTTACGTTACAAAAGTGTGTTGCTTGAAGCTGGATGGGTCCTCCTGTGGCATATATGTTTAAAATAATTGATCAGAGTGACAGAAAGCTTGCCAGAGCCACGTACATGTGAAGGTTGAACGGAATGTCGTGTAGATGTAAAATTTATTTGAGCATGCTGCCAAATGTCAAGCCATAGATTTTGTTCTGTAATCTTGTAAATGTTCTGTGCAAGTATAAAATAATTCCAAGTGCAAGGTACATTACACCAGAGAGATTAACTTTAATGTTGACATGCGCAGCACAATAACACTAGCTTCAAATCTACTTTCTGCTGCTCACTCAATGTTGGTACTCTTGTTTCATGCGTGGTTATTAGTGTTTGTGAAGTGCAGTCATTGCTAGTATATATATCGGCTAATGTTTCTCTCATGTGCATTTGTTTGTATGCATTGCAGCTGTGGTTCAACCTCAACAGACGATTGTCGCCATAGCCAGTACAGGTAAGGCTGCTGTTAGAGGATTTCCCACATATCAATACCAAAAATGTTGATACAATGTGGCCCCCGTTATAACGCGATCGATCGTTGAGGTCCATAAAATGTCGTCGCGAAAAAAGCGGGGTCGCGCTAAATCGGGGTTCAAGAAAATAAACTGACCCAATGTTGACCTGCACTGAATAATGCATAAAAGCGAACAATGCGAATGAAACAGTCAGTGCATACAGCCATCTACACAACATGCAGCAACAAGTCGTATAAACTCATTAGTTCTCTAAAGGCGATCGTCGCTTCGGCCTAAGGCCGGCTTAACTGCCGGAAAGAGCAAAAAAAAGGTCCAATGACTCATCGCGTTATATCTGAATTAGCGTAAAATCGGGATTTCACTGTAGTTGCATTTTAATATAACTACTATAGTTGATCAGAGAGGTCTACGTGTCATGAATTCATATTGAACATGTCAGAAGGAACGACTGGATTCATGAGAATCTAGAAATGACCGGAGCAGGGGTGTGTCATAGTAGCTAGATGTAAGCAGGGTGCGAAATTAACGGGAGTCCGGAGTCAAATACTCCCTGATTTACTGCCGGACTCCCTGATTTGACATATGCAGGAGTCCGTGTGTCTCCCTGAAAATTCGGTCATACTAATTAGTTCGTTCCAGAGCATGGCCTCGCGGAATTACTGTATTTTTCAGCTAATGTCCAAAGAAAATTTGACAGAAGTGCAACTGCATGAATCTTAAAAATAAGCACATGCGTTATTGTTAATGTCTTTAATTTTGAACCTCAGACTGCGGACTCCCTTATTTTGCTGCGGACTCCCTCATTTTGCTGCGGACTCCCTCATTTTGCTGCGGACTCTCTCATTTTGCTGCGGACTCCCTGTCTTTGAGGGCAGGGAGTCCATTTGACTCCCTTGTTCAAAAGTTAATTTCTACCACTGTGTAAGTGTATGCTGACTAACTCTTACCTGCTGGACAGAACCTAAGATACGGACGTACGGCCGGCCCGGGGTGTGCTCAGCACAGAAGGTGAGGATGTCCAAGATGACTGGATTCACAACAACTTCACCTGGTAACAGGACAGGTACGTTGGTTAACATCTGGTAACAGGACAGGTATGTTGATTAACATCTGGTAAAAACACATGTATGTTCGATAACACCTAATAATAGGACAGGTATGTTAATTAACACCTGGTGAAAAAAACAGGTATGTTGGTTAACACCTGGTACCAAACAGTACATGTATGTTCGTTAACACCTAGTAACAGGACAGGTATGTTAGTTTACACCTGGTAACAGGACATATATTTTAGTTAACAACTGGTAAAAACAGGTAGTTTAATTTACACCTGGTAAAATTACAGGTACGTTGGTTAACACCTGGTGAAAAAACAGGTACATTAGTTAACACCTGGTAACAGGAGATGTGTTTTAGTTAACACCTGGTTAAAAAAAAACAAGTATATTAGTTAACACTTGGCAATAGCACATGTATGTTCACTAACACCTAGTAAGAGGACAGGTATATTAGTTAACAGCTGCTAGCAGGACAAGTAAGTTAGTTAACGCCGGGTAACAGGACCGAAGGGGAAAATTAATTTTCTCTGGTTCTTATCAATGGCCTGCTACCCCCGAGAGACACGTTCTTCCCTGGCCCCTGCCCAAAAAAGGATTGCCAACCCCCGGCTTGAAATCATCGCCGAACGAAGTGTTTGCGTTTGCTCGCAGGCAACAACGGACAGATTCAGCTGTGGCAGTTTCTGCTGGAGCTACTCACTGACAAGGACTCACGCGAGTGCATACACTGGGTCGGCGAGGATGGCGAGTTCAAGCTGTCGAACCCGGAGATGGTCGCACAGCTGTGGGGCATGCGCAAGAACAAGCCGACAATGAACTACGAGAAGCTGTCGCGCGCGCTCAGGTGAGGCCACAATTAAAAACATCTTTGTTTGCCCTCTACCGACCCAGGATGAAAAGTTTGGGTTGATAGGTAGGGATTTTTTTGAGTGGGGTCCTTTTACAAATTCAGCATCGTGTCTACATGCTCGGTTGTGCTTGTGTGGAGATAAGTTTTATGTTGAATGTTTGTTTTGCTTGGTATATATAATGTATTGCCTACAGATTTATATAATGTACAGTGATACAATTTGTAAAAAAAAAGGGAAAGATCAATAAAAAGTCTGAGCCTGGCCCCTTTTTGGCGGGTCGGTCGGGTGTGGGCAAACAAACAATATTTTTATTATGACCTGAGGCCCGCACGCACGCACGCGTTTAACCATGCAACTATTACTTGTGGGGCCGCCGCCTTGCCCGCCACACATGCCGTTGTCTAAGCCAGTGCTTAAATTGGTGCTTAAATTTCACCCATGGGATGAATGAAATGATTGTGGGGTGAATGAAGTTTGGTCGCAGGTGAATGAAATTGTGTGATAAAGACTCGAGGGTGAATGACACTGAAATAGTTTAAGAAGCACTGGTCTAAGCTTCTAACACTTACTGGTCGTGTACAGTATGTTTAGATGCAAAAGACGAGACAAGGTGTTGCTTGGTTTATGCTACTAATAGATTGGTACACACACACACACCCACACACACATATATATATATATCACTATAGGTTGAATAATTATTACCGTATTAATTAAACCAGTTTAATTACATCAATCACTAATTTTATTCTTAATTAGGTATTACTACGATGGAGACATGATCTGCAAGGTCCACGGTAAAAGATTCGTCTACAAGTTTGTCTGCGATCTGAAGCAGCTGATTGGCTACAGCGCGGCGGAGCTTAACCGCCTTGTCATGGAGTGCGAAAAGAAGAAGTTCAACCAGCCGAAGCACAGCGCGTACACGACACAGAAGAAGGGCCTCGACTCCAACGTCGTTCCGCTACACTCGCTTTCTAATGTTTAGAACACCGCTCGCACCTACGATAGCGAGTGTAGCAGAACGACGTTCTGATGTTTAGAACACCGCACGAACCTACGATAGCGAATGTAGTGGAACGACGTTCTGATGTTCAGAACACCGCACAAACCTGTCAGTGAATGCAGCAAGTCAACGTTCCGACGTTCCGAACACCGCTTGCACCTACGATGTTCTGCTACACTCGCTACCGTAGGTGCGAGCGGTGTTCAGAACGTCGGAACGTGGACTTGCTGCATTCCCTGACAGGTTCGTGCGGTGTTCTGAACATCAGAACGTCGTTCCACTACATTCGCTATCGTAGGTTCGTGCGGTGTTTTGAACGTCGGAACGTTGACTTGCTGCATTCACTGACAGGTTTGTGCGGTGTTCCGAACATCAGAACGTCGTTCCAAACAGGATCGGAGTTTAACTCTGCTCGCTGTCATTAGTTCGCACAGTGATCCGAACCTCATGACACTTCACTTGTCGTCGTAAGTTCAAGCTGTGTTCGGAACGTTGGAAGTTTACTGGAATTTATTTCCTGTAGGGGCGCCACTGCAATGGTAACCATGCGCGTAATCACAGCTGCTCTCGCGTGATGTTGACACCACTGCTAGGTAACATTGAGCTTCCTGCTGTAGCATTATCCTGTGTGTTCCAGTAAAATGGGGTTAGTTTTCATGAAGGAACACCATCTGGCATTTAGGTGTGCCCAGGCATCCTCAGTTGGGCCCAGGACCCCACCAACCGATGAATGCCTGCATGCCTTATTTTAAGGGTCAGCTCCCATCTTGTGTAGCTATATTGCACAATGCTTTGCTGCTGCCCACGCAGGCCAATGGTTTTTGCATGAATGGTCCATCAGAACTTAACATGTGCTACAAATGCCTGTAACTGCCGGATTCTATTTCTGTAAAAGTGTGAAATCTGCGAGTGGTGTTGTTGTGTTATATGAACTTGATAAGAAGCAGCAGCCGTCTCTAAACAACAAGTGAGCAAGGGTGTGATGTAAATAATATAAATGTTGGAATTCTTGGATGAGAAAAGCCTTAAACAATGTAGCTTTAGTTAGCATGGTGGCAGATGTAACATGTGGTAGAATGGTGGCCTGACTCAACGAAAATCTGAGATGCAAAGAAATATCTGTGTGGTAACGACATCTGTTCCACTCTCTACTCTAATTGTTAGATAGATGTCGTTAAGTAACACCACGAGTCTAGAATGTAATAACTTTTGCACAGGAAATGCTGTGCCAGTGTTATGTCATTTTAGACCTTTTAGTCGTAGATATTGACGTTTCTGACAATGGGCTACCTGGTTCCTTTAATGCACAGCTGACAATAGTCGATTGTTGTCTCTAGCGTTGCAGAGGCGAAAGCTTTGCTTGGCCGTCTGATAGCAATGCTGCTGCTGCTGCTATTCCGAATGCAGTGCTAGGCGTTGTAGCCTTCCAGCACGTCTTCTGGCGGTCGTTGATATTGAGACTGGGGCACTCTCCAGCCGCGCCATCATTGTACATAGTTCGGTTAACGAAGGAGGACCTAATTAGGTAGTTCTATTCATATATGCAGCTCGTTCAGTCTTGATTTTTTCATAGGCCTCGTTAGACTGGTGAGCTTTCCAAAGTCTAGCTTCAAACAAAAAACAAGGCTACGCAGCAGCATGTGTGAATAAGCGGTTGCGTTGAATGACAGCGATTCGCTGGCACCACCTGACAAACGCTAGTTAACTTGTAAGGTTACAGCATTTCTCAGTGCTACTGTATGGATGTGACGTTTAAGCTGTGTGCCGTATGTCTACCCAGGAACGATCCTGGGAAAATTTTCAAGGCAGGGGGGAGGCAAAATTTTGTGACTCGATCTGCCTAGTGATGCACAAGCGAGGGGTGCAACTCCTAATCTACGAGGGTTTCACGGATGATTTCCGCTTATTTAAATGTTATTTGAATTCGTTAGAAATTCGTTTTAATAAATAAATTTGGCTGTTATTATATTTTTCGCTTAAATGTTTAAGAAGCAGCTCCTCCTTCATCTCCCCCCCCCCTTCCATGCTGAGGCAATGGTCCTGTCCATAAGGTTTGTGTGATTGTGGGCCAGTTGCTATAGCGAGATCTTTTCTCCCAGACTCGATGGGGTACTCCCAAATTGCAATTCACATTAAACATTTTCATCTTTTTTTCCCAATTATCAGTAAATTTGGTTAATTTACTTAAAACAGCACGAAAACCAAGAGGGTGAGGAATCCATATATGAAATCGAGGCAAAGCTGAACTTACTGTGAAAAATAAGGCGTTTTCCATACTAACGTTAATCTCGCAAAAAAATCTCTCGCAAAAAATCAATACTAACAGTGAAAGAAGTTTTATTTTAATTGTATACGTGATTCTTGTCTCACGGCACACCCCATCAGTGCCCTGTATCACTCTCATGCACAGGCATTTCCCCACTGCATGATATCAGTGTGCTTATCAGTGGGATTGCTTAATTACATCGGCACAATATCTCTTCGTCACTCGCTGGTGAGGCGATGTGACCAGGTCCATTATAATTATTTTGTTATTCTGTAGACTGGTGTCACAAGTCCCAGCGGTGGAACTGTGGTTCATTTACAATGACTTACTGAGCCAGTCTAGTTATTGTATCCCCCGCGACGAAGTCGGCGGGGAGACTATGGTTTCATGTCTCCCCAGCCGCCGCCGCCGCTCGGTCCGCCGCAGAGAATTTTCCTTCTGCTCTATAACTCGACCCCTAATTGACCTAGCGTGACCAAACTTGGTATACTTACACATCTTGGGGAGAAGGTGAGCAGCGTACCAAAACCAGGTCACTGCGACCTTTATTTGACCTTTACCTTGACCTTGATCATATTTTCCTTCTGCTCTCTAACTCGGCCCCTAATTGAACTAGCACTACCAAACTTGGTATACTTACACATCTTGGGGAGAAGGTGAGCAGCGCACCAAAACCAGGTCGCTACGACCTTTATTTGGCCTTTACATTGACCTTGATCATATTTCCCTTCCGCTCTCTAACTCGGCCCCTAATTGACCTAGCGCTACCAAACTTGGTATACTTACACATCTTGGGGAGAAGGTGAGCAGCGTACCAAAACCAGGTCGCTACGACCTTTATTTGACCTTGACCTTGATCATATTTCCCTTCCACTCTATAACTCGGCCTCTAATTGCCCTAGCGCGACCAAACTTGGTATACTTACAAATCTTGGGAAGAAGGTGTGTCGCGTACCGAAACCAGGTCACTGCAACCTTTATTTGACATTGACCTTGACCTTGATCATATTTCCTTTCCGCTCTATAACTCGGCCCCTAATTGACCTAGCGCGACCAAACTTCGTATACTGACACATCTTGGGGAGAACACGGGGGATACATGTAGTTGGCGACAATTAACTGCCCTTTCTAGTTCATCGTATACATATATATAATATATATATATATATAAGCGCTCACGGGATCGTTCTCAATACCACATTTAAGTCACAACAGTAGAAATGGCCTAACAGAACATATTTTGATGACCTTTTATAGAGAAAAAAATCTTTTGTCTATTAATATACGGAAACATAATATTTAGTGACTGTAATAAGTAATCAAACATAATATTGTATTAGGTATATATTTTTTATATGAATGTCAACATTTGGTTTATTTTCGTGACTCGTATTTACAAATCATTCGAATGTTCGAATTGCAGTGAAAGCATTTCTGTGTGATGGCTTTCTTGTCAACGTTCACTATTAAGTATAAATGTGGCCACTACCTTCTATTGCAACAACAACAACAACCACTATTTGCAATATGAAGGTGTAGGTCAGTGGTTCTTAACCTTTTCTGAGTCAGGGACCCCTTTGAGGATCTGGTGAAAGCTACGGACCCCTCCCGAGAAAAATGCACATTTATATCAGCACATAAACACAAAATTTTACATGCGCCTGGTTCACGGACCCCTGAAGCCCATCCACGGACCACAGGTTAAGAACCACTGGTGTATGTAATTTAAGTAAGTTACTCACTATAGCCAGCCGTGTAAGAAAGTGGTTGCCTGGTACCGTGTGTGTGTGTGTGTGTGTGCGTGTGTGTGTGTGTGCGTGTGTCTGCATGCCTGTGTGTGCGTATGGACAAGCATGTATGACTTACGGTAGTAGTTCAATGTAGTGCTATATTTGCTACTAGTTATATCCTGCGTAACATTATGCGATTGATAACAAACAAATATTGCGAGCAAGTACGTATTCGTTTATCTCACTGTGTTACGTACAACACACCAACGTGTTATTGACAACAATTGCACACAATGCTGAGTGAGTGATTGTAAATTACATCCCCTGATAGATACCGAAGTAACGTCAGATATGGCTACGTTGGAATCATACATAAGGCTTTATGTAAACATGTATTTCTGTATATAGATTTGTGCTGTAGAAACACCCACAAGGCGCGTGCGTTTGTACTGTTGCAATTCATACAGACGGAATGTAAAATATAAAATATTTTTAGGTGACAAGCGTTTTAATAGAACATGTTTCTCTGTTTTCAGTTTCCTAGTTTTATTCATTTACTGTTGTAATATTCTGTGACATCAATAAAGCTAGGTTTAAACAAACACGGAGGACAGCAATAATGATTTGGAGTCCATTTATTGAGCGCAGCGAGTTGATTTTGGATGGAAACCTTCGCTCATAGGGTCTATGTCCCCCAGCCTCCCATGGTACTGCCGGAACGTACCCTGGGTACGGTCCGGTATACCGGAACGTACCCTGGTAACTATCTGATATGGTTAGGGTTAAGGAGTAGGCGTAGGCGTAGGTGACATATATGTACCTGAGGTAACTATCTGATATGGTTAGGGTTAAGGAGTAGGCGGTCCGGCATATTAGATAGTACCAGCGTACGTTCCGGCAGTACCCTGGGGGACATATGATAGACCCTCTCAGCGAATTGGTTTATTAACTGTGGTAATTTCAAAGAAAAGCACGATAGGTATATAAGAAAACTGACAATGTGATTATATAGTAATCACATGAAATATACTTTATTATTCAAAAGCATATATAGAGATTTTATGCAAGGAATACCTGTATGAAAATAGCTATCAAGAATCAATCTGAAAATATCATTTCCAGCCACCTAAACGTTTCACGAAATACTATTTTATCCAATCACCTTTTAACGAAATGGTATGGTATATCAGCACATCTCAGAGGTCAGCATATATATAAAATTTTGTGGAAATATTTGTAGGATTATACTCCATTTACTAGTAAACTATATTTTTTCCGTTGCTATAGTTACAGAATCTCGGCTAGAACCGCAAACAAAAAGTTAACGGCTATGCGGAATGAAAACCTTATACATATTTTTATCTGATATAATTAGCTATAATGAATTGACGATCATGAAAATAGTGTTTAATTTGTTTGCACACAGTCTAGGGTAATTTCGTCAATACACAAAGTATGCGGCTAAGTGGCAGTAGCTCATGTATTCTGTATACACGTGCGCCTGGGATTCTTGCAGTGGAGATCTTCAAACTTAAGATAGAGCAAGCCTTTCCAACTATACTGGCGGTTCAACAACACCCACCACCTTTCTCTCCACATCTCGAATATACTTCTCTGGTATGCCAACGTTCCTGCAAATAAAAAACGTATTGTAGCACATATTAAGTAAAACATACCTAGTGGAAATTCGTCACTCTCCACTGATCGACTTTCACTATGTCAGACCTATTTTAATTTACCTACACCGCCTCTATCAGCTGACCGCTTGAATAGTGAACATTTGAATATTGCTTTGTATTGCTATGCTGTATACATTTGATACATTTACACTCTGACAATCTTTAACATCCATAATGTAATGGATGGTTCTTGTTAACTTCTCGAAGAAAACACCACTACAGAATCACCGGTCAGCACCAGTGTAAATGATGTGGACATTGTCCGTGAAAATGACGAAGACCCAGGAAACCTGAGGGGGTGGGGGATAATTGGACATGTTGCAAACTGCAGGAACAGCTCTAACAGCAATATCCAAGCATCGTCTCACAGACACAGGACTGTCTTTATCTGAGACTGATCCATCCACTGTCGCTACCCAGTGTGTGAAACGGAGGGCCAGATCATCTCTTCACAGATCCACTGTACCAATACTCCGTGGGGATTCCGCGAGCTTATCACTTAATGCCACCGCTGACGTTAGCTGTGTGCACGTGCACGTGTGTTGTGTGCACGTGTGTTGTGTATTGTGTATTGTGCAGTGCTGTAATTGTCCGCCATGCTAGAAGAGACAATCTCGCTTGCCTAAGTTCACCGATCTTCTTTCGTTTCGTGGCGTCGAGTCTCTGCCTGCGCAGCTTGGCTTCCTCGTCCAACTTAATTCCTGCAATAGTGTGTCCATGAGTTGCAGCAACAGCTTTTAAATAAGTATGTAATACTGTCTTCAGATATTGCTTTATTCATACTAGGACGACATCACAAATGATGGAGATCTCTAACATGATTAAACTAATTAAACTGAATCACAGAACATGTGGTTTTACTAAACTGAACTGGTACAGTCACAGTACGTTATTCTCTATCTTTCGTTTACGTCAGAGACAACTGCCTGCACTGACAGCAACGTTAACAGTCAACCGACCTATCCACCCCGCGTAATCGACGGGTAAATAGATCTTGCTATTAGGATAGGTCATTCTAAAAACGTTGCATAGTAACAAAAATGCCACAAAGTTGAAGATGTGGCATGCACGCAAGAAAAACGTGTATAAACTGGTTTACCTTGACAAACTTTGACAAACGGGGGATATCAGATCTCATATTGCTCCGCAGACGGATAGTTCGACTATGAAACCTTTGCGAGTATTAACTATGCATGACTCATGTCCTCATGCTCGCAGCTACCTTCCTGGAAGACTTCTTTCATGTTTGCTGCCCCCTGGTTAATAACTACACAGGCAGAGCACACATACCTTCCTGGAATAATTCCTTCCTGTCTCCTGTCCCTCATGTTAATAACTACACAGGCAGAGCACACATACCTTCCTGGAATAATTCCTTCCTGTCTCCTGTCCCCCTGGTTAATAACTACACAGGCAGAGCACACATACCTTCCTGGAATAATTCCTTCCTGTCTCCTGTCCCCCTGGTTAATAACTACACAGGCAGAGCACACATACCTTCCTGGAATAATTCCTTCCTGTCTCCTGTCCCCCTGGTTAATAACTACACAGGCAGAGCACACATACCTTCCTGGAATAATTCCTTCCTGTCTCCTGTCCCCCTGGTTAATAACTACACAGGCAGAGCACACATACCTTCCTGTCT